TGAAATAATTTTGACAGCTGTCGGATGAGTGGCTTAGAAATGACAGCAGTCTGAAGTTTGTTGCAGTTTTTTCATCTCACCCAGTAGATACTACTCCTTACTAGAGCATGGAAACACCAAAATATCATATTACCCCCACTTCTGCTGAAGAACGTGTCATGTCATATCATATCATGTAACTGAATCCTTAATTGTTTGCCCAGAAATTTCAAATTAAACTCTTAGTTTAAAACGAAAACCAATTCATTTGAATAAAATTCGTGTTTTTTTTATTATTTTATTCTTATATTCGGCGAAGAAAACATTTTGAAATAGATGATGAAATTTGCAAATATTATCAATTTTATTCACATTTCCATTCATTAATTTTACTACAGGGTATTCATATGTTCGCCTGATATCGCATACCATTCCCATTTGCTTTCGATTTTAAATTGACACGCGCTGAATGAAACCAGTTACATGTGGTGCGTGTAGTATGACTGAAAAGACAGACAGTCTCGTCTACAGATTTTTTTTTTTTTTTGATTTTTTTATGCAAAATTTTTTCGTTTCGTATTAAATTACAGAAATTGTTTTTTATATTATGACCGCTGAAATGTTTACAGCAAATATAAGAAACCACTGACGCTTTAATGGGCTGAACAAAATAAAAATAAACAAAATTTAAATAAATATTTGCATATTAAACGTGAGAAAATTTTGAAAACCGGTTATTTCGAAAAGGCGTGTTCTAAACAGTATATTAAGAAATTAAAATTAATGGAAAAATTGGCTATTATTAGTAATAATTTTAATAATATTCGTGCATACAGCTGATGGAAAATGCATTTATTTTAAATACACTTCTTCGAAACTATGAAATCCAAGGACTTCAAATAATTACTTTTGAAATTTTGAAGGTTGTACGCTAGGGAACCAAAATAATAATTTGAGTTTATCTACGTCTATACCTTTATTTGCCATGGTAAGATGACCTTTTTTCGAATTAATTTCCTATTATCACGAAAACCCGAATATAACCAAAAATATGAATATGAAGAGTAAACTAGTTACGTATGCTCATATAACATTTCTTTAATATTTTCGAAAAAATCAATACACTATTGTATATCAATGTGGTACCCTACACCACTATGCGTATTTAGTAGAGTTCCTATAACAAATTTATGTGAAGTAGATCATACCCATGGTACAAAAAGGAGGTAGAACAGCTTCGTAAAACTGGAGAAATACAGCCCTGAGGCTATGCCCTCATTACTCATTCAAAATTATATAAGTAAGTTGTTTTCATTTTTTTCATATTTTTCCTCATTTTTTGAAATGAGCTGGATTTTCTCCAAAAAATATGATCTAAACTGTTCAATCTTTCAATTTTATGGCTAAACTGGTTAATAGCTTTAATGCGCGAGCCGCAATGTACGTATCTTCCAATAATTGGGTTTGAAAATATTTTTTTTTTTTCATTTTTCAAAACAACAAATACATACACAAAATTGACAGAAGTCTTGACTTTAGTCACAATTTGGGAACTAATTCCAACTCTGAATCAATTTTAAACAAATTTGAGGGAGGCTTTTGTATCCCCAATACCAAATAACATTGCTATATAGAGCATGATATGACTTCGATAAGAAAATATAATTCTTACAACAAAAAAGAATGATGTAAATATATTTTGACTTTTATTATGATTATTCAAATTGTTGGCACTCTATGGCGTAGGTTCCAAAGGAATAGACCAATATTGACCATTTCCTTTCGGACCTAATACAATATGATATAAATATTGGGACTTGCCAGGTTTGGACTACAGGCTGAGATAAAAAAAACTACAATCAATTTCAGACTGTTGTCATTTCAGAGCTACTCGTGCGACAGCTATTAAAATTATTTCAGTGGCAGCTCATAATATTTTTTACAAGCGCACAAAAGCATTTTGGTGAGAATTTTCCAGAAAAAAGTTATTCGTGAATTCCATCATGCGTGATAGTGTGATTTCTTTATATTTGGCTGGAAAACCACAAATGGCTATCGTTAAAGCACTCCAGCATTTAAATGTGAATAAATCTTTTGTGTCTCGTGCCATCGCTCGATGTCAAGGAAGTGGACAGAAGAAAACAGCAACATCAGCAGAAATGGTTCAAAAGTAATCAAGCGACTTGACCGAAATGCGCTTCTCAGTTGCCGAAAAATGGCTCGTGAGTTGAACATATCGCAATATTCCATTCAGCAAATATTGAAAAATGAGCTCGTGGTAAAGCCATTGAAACCCAAAAATGTGCAATAACTTACACCGCAACAGTAAGGAAATAGACTCAAAAGAGTTTCTTCGGCTGGCCGAAAGTGGTGAACTGCCGAATGTGGTTTTCTCTCGTTGTTCAGCCGTTTGTAATTAAAAAAATGATCGTGTTTACTTGCCAAAGAGGTCAGCTGAAAGTATGCATCTTCGGTTGGTCACCAGAAGTCAAGCGCTGTCCATGGTGATGGTGTGGGCCGCCATAGCAGCCGATGGTCGCTCTCCACTCCTATTAATCCATCGTGGCATCAGAATAAATGCCGAATATTATTGCGAAAATTATTCTGGAGGGTGTATTAAAGCCTTTTTGGCCGCAGACCTTGGACATTCCAACAGGACTCAGCACCATCGTACTCAGCACGCGCCACCCAAGAATGGTCACAAAATGAGGTTCCTCGCTTCATTTTGAGCGCACAATGGCCACCAAAATCTCCTGATACCAATCCATTGGACTATGGTGTCTGTCTAAAAAATACCAAAGTGTCGATCACCTCAAGGCCGGGAATGGGGCAAAATACTTTATATTAGAAATGTGATAATTTTTAGAAGAGGATAGAGAAAAAAATAAAAAAAAAATCAGAAAACTGGGAAAAAATCTATCTCAATTTGACTGATGATTTTTTCTCTTTAGAAAAAAATCAGTACCAGAAGAAAGGGTTCGATCTCTCCCATATTTATAACAAATCTTGTGTTGATGGAAATATTGAGATGTACCAAGTCTGAATGGAATCGGATAGTAATTTTGCGTTTTATTAGCGCAATATATAGCCAAAGGTTTAATCCTGGAATATTCCTATCTCTACCAACCTTAGTACATCTCATCTTTACTACAGATCTTGTAGTAGTAGAAATAATTTGATGTGTGAAATTTAAAGAGAATCGAATGCTTATTCCGCTTTTATGAGAAGTGAGGGAGGTACCAGAAGGAGTGGACTGATATATTCCATCCTGACACCAGGCCATGGGTTAATAAAAATATTGTGATGTGTGTGGCTATTTTAAAGGCTTTAACCAAATATCCCAACGAAATCAGATATAATTTGTGGTTCACACTTAGCACGTCTCAAAAAAATTGTTCTAATTCCGTCCGGATTTTCATACAGCCGCCATAAAATAGTACCACTTAATTTCATATATTTTGAAGATTTTTACCACATTTGCCTACTGAATTTCGGGGTACCCATTAAGGATGCAAAATCTCAGTTTACAGTTGGATTTAATTATTCAAACAAGTAAGCAAAGGCTATATGCGTGCGGGGCCGACAATGTGATACCCTACAACACTATAATATGTTGGAAGCCGTTTCGTTTTGGAAATAATGTCATCGAGCCCTGCCCAAATTTTACCCTTACGGTTTTGACCCAAAATTTGTACCCAAAATTTTTGCACTCCGTCGTGTTGTTAAACAATTTTGCACGAAACTTGTGGTCCATTTAACAGCTACATATAATCCAATGGTCATCCAAAATGCCATACTTCTTCTCTGTCCTTAAATCTCTTTTCATGCAAAATGCCGTGTCGATTGGCTTTCAATTGTGACCCGTAGAGCGACTGCAAAGGCATATAAATTTGAACCCCAAATGTACATCTTCAAAAACAAAAGGTAGATCGACGCAACTCAGCGAGATAGGCAGATCCATATATGGTTTCCTATGTCGAGGACCAATATTTCGAGGCGTTACATGATTTTTTGAATAACTTCTACACATAGTGTTATAGGTTACAAAAATTATACAGAATGGGCATATTTGGACTTATTATCACATGTTTTTCATTCCCTTATGACAATGGATATCAAACATTTGGGACGGCCAAATTCAAAGACATTTTAATATTTCATTTAAATAATCACTTTCTTGGCGAATATAAAATCGATTAGGGCAGGCACTTCATATGTCATTAGAATTAAATTTTGTTATTTATTGACCCAATATTATGTAAGAATAATGATAACCTTGTGACACTTACCACCAGAATTAAACCGATTATGTTGATCTAAAACCGGTTTATTAGAATAATTTAGCATAAGAATGCCAAACTATTCCATTGGCACGCGTTAAACGCTCAGATAGACACACATTTTACAAATCCTGTTACAAATCGTAGACTAACAAGAGAACCGATATTCCGAGCGATACAGACAACTAATTAATACATAATTAGCTAGAGCCGAGACAAGCCAACCGGCAAGAAAATAAGAAAAAAAAAATGCAATAATCCCTTGGCAGACAGACAATAATTATGACCGACTGTAAGCTTGAAGCTACGGCAGTGTAAACACCTTCTGCTTAACTGGATTTGGTACTTTTTTTGAACTTTCTTATAAAAGCCGGTAAGAGAGTTTTGTGTCGCGTTTTATATTTAATTTTTTTTTTGCGTGCTAGAATATGGAGATTACAATGCTTGTTGTTGTGGTCACAAAGAGCTGGGCTTGATCATGCGGACAAGCGTCCGCTTGGTTATAAAAACATACAAAAGGCCAGTTAAATATTAAAAAAGTTTTATTTCAAAACAATCAGCTACCGTAAAAGCATTAAAAAAAACTGTTTATATTTTAACATTGAGTTTCGTTTTATGGGACTTCAAAATATTTGTCAGAGTTATAATAAGTTCAAAGCAAGAAAAGGTTGTTATTTAATTTAGGTGACTTATCTAAAAAAGATTTTAATATTTGATTGGATTTATTTTCTCTCCTTTCAGCCTACAAAATGTTCTCTTCAAAATCCGTTGCTGTTATCTTCACCGTAGTTGCCATTTGCTTTGCTGTAATTGAAGTTAGCCAGGCTATGCCCTCCATTGGCCATTACGGCAAGAGGTTTGGTAAGTAAAAATATAAAACAAATTAAAAATTAAACAGTTCGTAACTCTTTACATCTATTTTTTATTCCCTAGATTCCATGGGTGGCATTGATTACATCCAAATCTGCCTGAATAACTGTGCCCAATGCAAAAAGATGTTTGGCGACTATTTCCAAGGTCAAACCTGTGCCGAGTCATGCCTTAAATTTAAGGGCAAAGCCATACCAGACTGTGAAGATTTCCCATCCATTGCTCCATTCTTAAATGCCTTGGAATAGATTGGAAGAGACAAACCCCGTATAACTATGAGGTTGATATGTTGATTTGACCGATACCGTAGTAAAAAAAAAAAAACAAATGACGATGACGTTATCGATCAAATTTATGAGGATATAATTGAGATACAAATGACATTTAAGCCAACGACAAAACAACAATGCATTTATTTACCCACATTGTTGTAGGTCAATGGCAAAATTTATTTTTAAGTATTTATTTTTTATGGTTATTTTTTGCATAACCCACCTACTATAAACCTTCGTTGAAGCTGTGATTTTTTTCTTAATTTTTGTGTGCGGTAATTTAATATTTATTTTGATGTGTGGTGTCTTTAAAGCCTTAATGCATTTATTTATTTTTATTTTGTTAAGCAAACCCGCAGGCTTTTTTAGTAAGTAAACAAACAAATTTGAACATGATTTTTTTATAGAAATACTTGATGTGCCAAATATAGCTTAATATGTGAATGTAGTTTAAATAAGATTTCTTAGTAACATTATTATTTTGTGTGTGAAAAATGTACATTTTTTACCAAGAAAATAAAAATTACAAATGAAACAAATTTGACAAATGAAAATGATTTTTTAATACAATTTCGACTAGACCTTAATTGTCGAATATTTTGCACTAAAGCACAAAAGCTACACTCCTTTTAATGATTTACATGGAATCACATTCTAAGTCTGTCCAAATTACAGGTCGCATTTATTGTTCGATTGCGATGAAATTGGGCATCATTCAGTTGCTTGGCCCAAGGACGAACCCTATTGAAATTGATTGACTCGGCCTATTTGATGTTTTTGTGCGCTAAATACCTTTTATATGGCCAAATTTGAGAATTTTTCCAATTTTTACATATGACCGTATTTTTCAGTCAGTATATTAAATTTGGTGAAAATCGCAAAAAGCTCCCACATGTACGCTTCCTCTGATTTTATACTTCAGGTACGTGAACGGACATGGCCTATTTACGAAGATAACCTGCATACTGGTAAAATATACACGTGTGCAAAATGTTAACCTTCTACCTCAATTCGTTTAAAAGATAGTGCGACGGATATCGCTAAATTGACTCAGAATTTTACGCTTATCAAGAATATATATACTTTGTCTGACATGAGTATTTTGAGGAGTTACAGATGGATTGACAAAGTTAATATTCCATCCATAATATGGTGGATGTATAGAACTATTTCTAAATATACGTATTTTAAATTAAGAGAAGTAAAATTTAACACCACGTCCTAAAATTCATTGCAAAATTTCACCTCGACAGTTAAAGGTTACATATAACAAGTAAAAAAGCTGTAAGTTCGGCTGGTCTAAACTTTGAAAACCCTCCACCATTTTGAACGAATTTGGCAATATTCAATAAATAAAATCCATTAAAAGTGCTTTTAAAATCTTAAAAATACCGAATGTAGCCCTTATTTTAGGGTCTATACGATGACGTGGACCTGCATAGGCAACTTTTGTCATAAGCCATACAATATTCAAATGCGAAACTTGAAAAAAATCGATGAATAATGCAACTAAAATCATCAAAATACCGAATATCGTCGTAGGCTGTATTGTCCATATCTGTCGTAGGCTGTAGTGTCCATTACGAACTTCAAATACCAAATTTGAAACGTTTCCGGTGAAAAATGTCGCTACAATCATCAAATATATATATCTTATGGGGTCTTAAATGTATATTTCGAGGTGTTACAAACGTTTTACAATCCGTCCATACTATGGTGGAGGATATAAAAAAAATCCCTGAGTCCTTAAATAGGACGTCTTAGAAAATTATTTTTAAAAAAATCCACGATCCTTGCCTGGAATTAGGAGTCTATGGTGGAGGGTATAAAAAATAGAGCTTTGGCAAGAGCAAGAGGCCAATTTCTCTTAGTTTTTATTTAACAAACAACCAATGAATGTCTATTAATAATATGGGACAACATCCGAGTTTAAAAACCGTTGAAATGAATATAAGGAAAAATCAGCACGGATCAAAACCGTGTGCCAGCACATGAGTCCAAAAAAGAGACTATTTAAGAGAAAACAATAATTAAATGTTGGACTGTTGAGCGTGCTCTTGTTGTTGCGCTGCTTTTTGTTACGGTTGTTCTCTTTCGCTCATGGCCGTACTCTGAGTAAAGACTAGACAAAATGCATGTTGAGCAAATGGTTTGTGTCTATACTATATAGACTGAATATAAAAAACACATTTATAGGAAAAAATGACAAACAAAAGTTTGAAAAATCAAAACATTGGGTTTCAAAATTCTATTTCATAGACTTTCCAAATGCATATTGCCTAAGCGGTTTAAATCGCATAACATTGCTAACTATGTTGTTACGATATCATAACAACTTAGGTATTTTCAATGGGCTGCCATACATTGCTTCTATCCTGTCCCATCTTTTCTATGTCTTTGCTACTACTCGTGTTTTAATTTCATGTTTGTAATTCATATGAAGTTCTTGCGACATTTTATAAATTTATGTTGAAAATTAAAAAAAAAATTGAGAAAAAAGTAAATAAAATTGGAAATATTGAAGAGAAATAGATTTATTTACTCCCCCCGCATTAATGGGGTATGGGAACGGTGTTTTCATAAGGAATTGAAAAAATAGTACTATATTACAGATTGTGGAACACAAGTTATGCCTAAAGTCATATGTTTGTTTTGTGGCCTCAAAATACTTTCTTATCACTTGGAGATATTAAAGTATTATTCTCATTTTCTTTCCTGCAACATTGGCCTAAAGTGGTGTCAAAAATCCGGAAATACTCAGTCCATCTATTTGTCAGATGGGATACTAAGTTTATGGACAAATGTAAGCTTTTTTTTAATTCTAATATGATGTGTAGTCTTTTTGGGGAGTATAAAGCGACAACGGACAAAAGTGAAGTGTAGTACTGAACTATGTGGTGCCAAGGCTACAGATGGTGTCGAAATAATTTAACGTGTTCCTAACATACTTAAAGGATACTTACTTTTTTAAAATCATTACAAAAATTCTAAAATCGGAAAAAAAATATTTTCAACGGAATCGAATTTCAAAATAGTAGTACATTCTACTGACAAAAGTCGTAAGGACTTTAAGCTTTTGCTAAAAAAACTGCAAATCAAAAAAAATTATCACGTTTTGGTATAACCATCATATGATTTAAACTATTTTCGGAGTCTTGGACACTTTTTTTATTTTCCTTGGCCTTATTTGGCACCACGGTTTCTAAGGGGAAGAAAACCTCTTCGCATAAAATTTTCAGTTATCGTAATAGGACCCACCTTGGTCTTAACCATATTCATCAACTATTATACTGTGATGAAAAATATGGACTTTATGGGATCTCCAACGCACAATATAAATAAAAAAAGAATAATTCCCATCTTACGGTAATGTGTGTAAAAGAGTAATTATCTTTGACTCTTCTGAAATCATTCTGCCCTCAAGTATGAGGTAAACAAAACTAAATACCACGCAGCACGCTATTCTAAACGCTGGGAACTCAAATTCTAAATTACAGATTATTTGAATGGAAAATGTTGCGATGTTCTTTACAACACCAAGAACTGAGCTGATTTTTCACATGGGGCTATTATAGATGTTCTATATTATATAAGTTTTTAGAACTCAAACTAAAGCCTATGGCAGAAAAAAAAAGGATCAGACTATTGAAAATATCTAAAACCGACGGTGGGTGCAAGTCTATTAAAATTTGTGCCATGAATATTTATTTCTATTTAGAATTTACTATGGAGTCATTACTTATAATAACAATTGTGCCGCTTTCATAAGTCAGATCTGTGATTTATTATACTTTAAAGAAAATACATTAAAGACTAAAAGTACGGGCCTGCAATGCGGACCGGTCCAGCTAGTAATTATATAAAATAAGAACAATATTATTTTTTAAACAAACTTACCGATTTCACCATTTTAATAATTTCCCCTCAATTGCGTTGCTGACTCTAATCCGAATAACCTCAATTGGCATTTTAAGAGTATGAGAATCAGCGCTGCTCAAGAAAAAATATCTTTCCAGTCAAATTTATCTTTGCTTATTTAAATCAAGAACAACACAGGGTTAAGTCATTATTTATAAAAATATTTTTTATTCATTTGCTTTATAAATTATTTCGGCAAACATTCATCTTTAAAAACAATTAAATAGAATCGTAAAATATAAAGAAAAAGAGAATTTCAATTTTCTCTTTAATTATCTCTTTTTTCGGCTCATGTTCTAGAACACGGTTTTGAGCAGGGCTGATGAGAATGCACTTTTATAGACACTCTTTACATCTAAGTCTCTCTTACAACTATTTCCCGGTAACAAGAAATTTAATGAATTTGACACGACACACACTGAAGAGAAATATTTCATCTCTTTTTTAACCAACCGACCAAACCAATCAATGTTGAACCGGGCAACAAATCGACCGTTTAGCAAGGACAACAACACCACACTTATTCTCTCATCTGCAACACACGAACAACGAACTCACAAATAAAGAGCCAACAAGAACCGAAGTGCCATTTTAAAGCAAAAATGGAACTGTATTTTTTAATACATTTCAATCGAAAACACAATTTGATTTTACTAAATTGGACTTTTATTAACAATGATTTGAATGTTTTTATTGCAATTTTCATTTTTTCTTTAAGAAACTCTTAATATGATTTTGCGTTAACACGACACACAACTATTTTATATGAAGAGATTTCGGCAAATCTCTTTTAAATTTAACCGTCCGAGAGAATCAAAGTTAAGCCGTGCACGGTGCACCAACCAGGGGTGCTCAAAACCGTGTTCTAGAACATGAAGAGAAAAAAGAGATAATTTAAGAGAAAATTAAAATTCTGTTTTTCTTTATAATTTACTGTTCTATTTAATTGTTTTTAAACACGAATGTTTGCCAAAATAGTTTATAAAGCAAATGGATAAAAAAATATTTGTATAAATAATGACTTAACACTGTTTTGTTCTTGATTTAAATAAGCAAAGAGAAATTTGACTGAAAACAGATATTTCTTCTTGAGCACCCCTGCACCAACTCAGTTGTTTAGCAAGGACAAGAACAACAATACTATTTAACTCTCCCATCTAAAACACACGAACAACGAAAGCACAACTAAAGGGCCAACAAGAACCGAAGTGCAATTGCAAAGGAAAAAGAAAATTGTATTTTTTGAATGAATTTCAACAGAAAACACTTTTATTTTAATTTCACTTTGTTGGCCATTAAATTATTAACAATATTTTTTACTTTTTCTTCGTTAAACAAGCAAATTTCACTTAGAATTTTATTAAATTCCACTACCGACCACGATTAACAACTGACCGTCTTAGAAAATGAATTACAACTGGAGAAAGAATAAATTGGGAGAAACAGTGTTGTCAATACAGCGTTAGCAATGAGTAGCAACATTTGGCCACCGTAGCAGAAAAAAGGAAATGATTCTAAAACGATTGCGTTGAATTGTGTTGTAAAATTATGATTC